AAACTGACAATTAGTATATCAGCACTAACATAACACAGAATGCTAGTGATGGGTCTGATGACACTGACACCTCAGTGCTGAGCAAACAAGACAAACACCTTCTGTTACAAATAAAGTCCAGTTGTTGAATTATTTGGATTTGCCTGCAATGACTTTTTTAATCCAGCAGATGTCGCCATTAAGTGATACAGCAACCTAGAGACAATGTCTTTGAACGTAGTCACCTATAATATAAAAGTATCCTGATGCATGCTATAATATAAAAGGAATCAACAACCCAATAAAGAGGAAAAAGATCTTAGGACAGTTAAAGAATATGCATTGTTCTATAGCTTTACTTCAAGAGACACACTTATTGCAAATAGAACACTTAAAATTAAAAAGGGAGTGGGTGGGCCAAGTCTATAGTGCTTCATGCGGGGGGTAGGGGTAGCCATCTTAATTAACAGAAGTGTATACTATAATAATGAGAAAATCTTTCAGGATACAGAGGGTCGGTATGTTATGGTGGTTGGTATAGTGGCAGGAATTAAGATAACTGTTTTAAACATCTATGCACCAAATGAAGATTGCCCACATTTTTAAAAAAAGATTGTCCATCTGTTGGCGGAGAAGGGCGAGGGACTGATACTTATAGGGGGTGACTTTAACTGTGTAATTAATAATAAATTGGATAAACTACCCATAACCACCAAACCACAATCCAGAATCTCCACAAGTTTATTAAATATGATTGAAGAACTGGGGTTAATAGAAGTCTGGCGCCACCTTCACCCGAGGGAAAGAGATTACACATTTATGTCCCATGTAAATGGAAGTTACAAAGACTGGACTATTTTTTTATATTAAAGAAAGACACATTTCGACTTAAAGATAGCACAATTGACACAATGACCATCTCTGATCATAGCCCAGTAATTATGAACCTAAATCTGGAATCTGAAAACCACATTAAATACTGGAGAATAAATACCTCAATATTAACAGATGTCTGTATTTGAGAAGAGGTACGATCAGCGATAACAGAGTATTTTGATCTGGATGATAATGGTACTGTTTCACCAGCAGTGCTTTGGGATGCAGCTAAGGCCACAATAAGGGGAAAATTAATCTCTATAGGGTCTAGACTAAAAAAAGAAAAACTAAAAAAACAACTTGAATTGGAATCAGAAATTAAAAGATTAGAAAAGGATCATAAACAACATGGAAGGCCAGAAACACTTAATGAATTAAAGGACACTAGAGCAAGGCTGGACGAATTATTAACATATAAGGCAGAGGGTGCCCTTAGATTTATAAATAGAAAATATTATGAAATGGGAAACAAAGCCAGCAGATTGTTAGCTTTTCAATTAAAAAAGGCACAGTCTCGTCGTGTAATTCCTAAAATAAAAAATATGAGTACAAATAAAATTGAAACAAACCCTAAAGCAATCTCAGGTAGTTTTGCAGAACATTATGGACAGCTATACAAGGGCCAGGAGCAGCACTGAAAACACGAAAAATACAAGATTTCTTTACAAATCTTAAGTTGGACAAACTAACTGAAGGAGAAGCATTTAGTTTAATCGAACCTATAAAAGAGAGTGAAATTAGAGAAACTATATGTAAATTAAAAAAACAATTAGTCACCAGGAACAGATGGGTTTGCAGGAGAATATTATAAAACATTTGTTGATGACCTTTCACCTATATTATGCAAACTTTATAATTATGTACTAGATACAGGAAATCCTCCTGACACTTGGTCAGAAGCTATTATTACAATACTACATAAAGATGGAAAAGACCCGATACAATGTTCTAGTTATCGTCCCATAAGCCTTCTGTGTGTTGATTATAAGATATTGACCTCCATTTTAGCGACTAGAGTACAGAAATGTATAAAAACGTTAATTAAGCTGGATCAGACAGGATTTATTTCAGGCTGGCAAGGTATAAATAATGTGAGGAGAACTTTAAATTTACAGTTAATAATGGCAAGAGATAAAGAACCAGCTATGCTTCTTAGTTTAGACGCTGAAAAAGCTTTTGACAGAGTCGACTGGACGTTTTTAGAACATACCCTCATTGAAATGGGTTTTGCCAAGAGATTTCTTAAATGGTTAAATTTTTTATATAAAAACCCTCGGTCTAGAGTAAGAGTTAACGGGCACTGCTCAGATTTTTTTGAAATGGGAAGAGGAGTGAGACAGGGTGATTCACTGTCACCTGTCCTCTTTGCTCTAAGCATCGAGCCATTAGCGGAGGCTATACGCCAAAATATACAGATTCAGGGAATAACAGACAGAGAAGGAATGATCCACAAAATTGCTCTCTTTGCAGATGATGTCTTGCTTTTTATAAAACACCCAAGCACATCAATACCAGCACGTATGCAATGTTTAGATACATATGCAGATATATCAGGATATAAAATAAATCAAAACAAATCAGAAGCAATGATAATGTCAGGGAAGTGGCCTGAAGAATTAAATAAAACTGTGTCCTTCCATTTCCCTAATAAGGGCTTTAGAAGTACTTAGGGATCACTCTGACAACTCACCCCACAAAATTGTTCGATGTTAACTACACTGAGTTAATAAAACAATTCAAGAATGATCTGACCCGTTGGGAAGTCCTCCCACTCTCGCTGTTAGGCAGAATCGAAACTATAAAAATGAATTTACTTCCTCGTCTTCTGTTTTTATTTCAATCGTTGCCCATAAGAGTTCCTATTTATATTTTTAATAAACTAAACAAATTAATATCACAGTTTATATGGGAGCACAAGAGACCTAGAATACGACTTAAGACACTTTATTTGCCAAAAGATAAAGGAGGAGTAGCTCTACCTAATTTAAATATTATTACTGGGCAGCTCAATTAGCTGCAACAGTCACTTGGATTAGGGGAGATGAGGAACCAATTTGGAATCGAATAGAGCAGGGGGAGCTGAAGGGTATATTATTGTCAACTTTGCCTTTTATTGATTCAAAATCTGTCATTAAATTGAAAATTGAAAATGAATGGATTAAACATACTCTGAAGATTTGGATGGAAGTAAAAAAAATGTTGAATGACACAGGATCAATATCTCGAGCTATGCCAATCATGGGTAATATAGACTTCCCCCCTTCTGTATGGGACCAGGGGTTTAGAAAATGGAACACCAAAGGTCTCATGACTCTCAACCAGTTGTTTGGAGAAACAGGTTTTAAATCTTTCTCACAGATTAGGGAGCAATTTGATCTCCCAGCAAAAGATATGTATATATATCTCCAAATTAGACATTACATTATGAACCATAAAGACAAAGAGAGAATTAATAAAGATCCAAATGATATAGAACAATACTTTATTTCCATTATATAAAAGAAAATTCCAACAAAAATACATTTCTCTAATTTTATATAAGAGGCTCTCACTTGATATTGTATGGGATAACCTGTGGAAAAACAGCCAAAGAGGGATTACCAGTCAGTTATGGAAAGAATTTGACTGGAAATTGAAAATGAGGTATTTCCACACACCTCTTAATATCTCCGATTTTGCAAAGGATCCCTCAACTGCAGACTGCTGGAGAAAATGTGGGAAAATAGGTGACCATACTAACCATACACACATATTCTGGGATTGTCCTGTTATCCAAACATACTGGAGGAATATCAAGGTGGAGCTTGAGAAAATAATACAGATGGAAGTTCCATCAGGTCCTTTGTTTTATATACTGGGGGATATGTTAAATGAAGAGTTCAATTCAAATCAGAGATATATTGTAATGTTTTATTATTGGTTGCAAAAAAACTAATCCCTGTAAATTGGAAAGACTTGAAACCCCCGACAATAATTGAATGGAAACGGAGGGTTAAACAAGTATATATTATGGAAAAGATGACATCAGTTCTACAAATGACCACTGATCTTTTTGACCAAAGGTGGCGCTGTGTGGAGGTTTGTCTGACACCTTGATGGGTGGTTCGTTGTGACTTTCAGAGGATTTGGTTCATTGCTTTTGTATATTTTTTGTGACTAATTTTTTAAAAGTTGTTGGCAATTCCTGTGCTGTGCGTTTTTTTTATTTTTTTATGTGTGTTTGTTTTTTATTTTAATGTTCAATGAAGGGGAATGTTAGATGTTCAGTTGTGTAAAAAAAAAAAAGGGCTTAAAATAAAAAGTTTAAAAAAAAAAATGATACAGCAACACAGTTTCAACACAGTGTCGACACAGTTTGGGAAATGTGCCTTACACCCAATGAGGCCTAATCTGCCCATCACTACAGAATGCTGACTGGGGCAGCAAAAACTTACCAATACCCTCGTGTGGGGCTGACAAAGCAGGTACATGAATCGTGACACCATGGAAGGACAATGCTCGAATATGTCAGGTGGGCAGCTCTCAGACTAAATACTAGTTACTAATGAGGCAAGCAGGAACAGCTGCTGATGATCAGGGTGAGGATCAGGTGAGATCGTCTCACCCTGTGTACACAATGTCGTTCCACCTCATGTACCACATGTGACGCTAATGACAATAAAGAACCTTGACTTGAAAAACAAACAAAATCAAAATAATAACAATAAATTTAACAACAAACAACATATATTCAAGTTGTGTCACAGAAAGTGTAACACAGTTTGTAATATTGGTGCAATTAGTGATTCAGGAAGTTAATGTCCGCCCCACTAATACCTTTGCTCAGGAGCTTTCACTGTTTAGTTTGGTGGTATAATTAAAAGTAATTCTACATGAATGACTTGACCCAAGGTTCCTGAATGGAACGTTATGCTGTAACAATTAAATAAAGATTTCAGTGATGTTTGTGCTGTGGCTAATCAGTATTTACACAGCTTTGGCATGTATTTTTACAATTAAGCTGATTTTATTATTTGAATTTAGAAAGGGTAAGCATCTTGAGCAGTGGTAGCAGAATGACTGAAATTCTGAATCTTAAAATAATTTTGTTTAATTTTTTTTTTTATAACCAGTTTTATTTTTGTTGTCAATCTCTTTTAGGTACTCAGGAGTTGACATGCTAGGATGACATCTGGTGTGATGGTAGGTGTTTGTTGTTCTTCATATATTGCTGTTTTTTCCCACTTCCATTTTTAATTCAAGCTGTCTGTGTGACTCTATTCCTCTCAAGGTTGTCTGTTTTTTTTTAATAAATCAAACGTAACAAGTTTGCAAACTCAAATTAAAGAGAGAACTTTGATGCATGGCTGCACAATAGTCAGATACACCTACAGTCAGCACTTACTGATTGGGCTCTGCAGTGCTGCTGCTTGCACACAGGAGGAACATGTTCCAGCTATGTGCTGGCATCAGAATGATGCTGCAGATGACTCTACAACAGTAAATGCTGGTTTTATCTCTATGCTTTTAGTCTGTATATGCTTACATTTATATACATTTTGCCTTCTTTTTTTCATTTTATTAGCTTACTTTGATCCAACTTGTTTGCAGGCCTGTTGCGATAAAAAATAAATCAATTAATCACACGATAAACTAAAATTACCGACCTCATTTTCATATATCGGCTTTATCGTTTCATCGTGTCTCTCTCTTTTTACTACTAAGCTGAGAAGCTAAGCTACTAGCTAAGCTAACAGGCAGAACTCAGGAAAAAAAAACCTCTGTCTTGTCGAAGCGCCAAAATTCACGGTTGAAACTTGTGCCTTCGTGTAAAAAAAGTTGTTTTTCTCTGCAAAAAGAAGCTGAGAACTTGTTTATTGATTTTTTTTAAATTAAAAGCTTTGTGTGAAAAATGCTATGCTAAAGAGCTCAAACCACACCGAGCGTCCGCAATTTTGAGAACCAAAGAGAGACAGCCCATGTCACGTCAAGGGGCCTCCATACCATGTTTCTTAGTGACACACTGCTCGCTCCCTCACTATCCATCTTTCGGTTCAAACAGTCTAATACTGCCATCCGGTGATCGAAAAAAGTTGCTTCACACAAAACAATTTAACAAACATTTCTTCTTAAATTTGACAATAATTACTAATTATTCTCAATTTTCAAACAATATTATCGTTTATCGCAATAACTTCTGAGACAATTAATCGCCCAGCAAAATTTGTTATTGTGACAGGCCTAGTTGTTTACCTTTATTTGATAATGAAACATTAACTGTCATAGGTTGATATGAAAATTTACTGCTGCTCATGAGATTTATTGTAGGTGAAGTCCAGTTTCTCATTATAAATCTCCTTTCTCTTTGTGTCAGACCAGCAAGGCCACTTGTTCCTGAGTCAACGATGCATGCTCCCAATTTGGATCCATCCCTCTGACAGAGACTGAACTGATCATTTATAGTCCCTACCCTACTCCCATCATTCTCTACTGCCATCTGCTAGTCTCTGTTCCACTTTCTCCGAGTCATTGACCACATCTGCCCCTGTACATGCCTGACTAATAGAGAGAGAAGCATAAGCAGACAACTGAGTTAGGCAATTCACCCCTGGTATTTATGTGGTTTCAGCTGGACCCCATGCTGCAGGGGGGAAACAGTCCTAGTGAGCCAAAGGAAATGGGCCTCAGTTCAAGTCCTGGAGCTGGAGGGGTGTCAGAGGGTTCACAAGGCTCAGAGTTGAGGAGGGCTTCATCTCAGTCAGTTCTCCCTTCATTCAGTGAAATGAGTCAAAATGCCAGGGAGAGCATGGGGGTTCTTGGCGAGGGCTTGAAGCAACTTTTTCAGCATCAGCGAAAACGCCTTTCCCTCTCTCGCTCCACCATCCCTTCATCATCTTCATCCTCATCTTCCTTTGTGATTTCAGCAGGTGACACCTCCCCCTTGCTCCTGAAGGCACCTTTGAATCATGCTCTCCTGAATCTGACCACCTATCTGCTCCTGTGATTCTGTCTGCAGCTGGCCAGGGCCCAGCTGCTGCAGGCATGATGAGGCGTGGGACCAGCCTGCAAAGCCGGCGCAGTAAGGGGTCCTGGAGCGGAGATCGGGATCCCCTCCTGAGGAGCAGTCCACAGGCCCCACAGCGCCGCAACACCCATGATCCACAGCAGCACGTTAGCCGGCCACGCTCTTCCTCCACCACCGACACCACACCCAGTAGTCCTGCTCCAGGACACACCGGCGGAGATGTGGGCCTGTCATCAGGGTATCAGTCAACAGAGGAGACGGACAAGGTAAGTGGCAGCAGCCATTCATCATCTCTGCGCAGGCTATTCAGTGTCTTTTTCCCCCGTTTACTGATGTCAGGCCTTGTTTGTCAGTGAGCTGTCAATCTACAGCTGAGGTTCACCTTGCTGCTGATGTGCAGTGACTTTCTGCTGCTTCAGCTTAAACAGCTCCTGCTGCTGCAGAGGATACATTCATTGCAGTTACCAACATTAAAATGTATTTAATAATAACAATGCTCAAAAAAAAAATCTGAAATATGCCAAACTGTTTCACAGAAGTAGTTTAGTTGTTACCACTTTAGATAATATTTAACTTTTGGAATTAAATTACTGTAGTTAGCTCTCTCGGCCACCAGAGGGTGGAATCAGATCAACAAAGCTTCTGTAAGCAGCCCCTTGACTCATGAGCTCATGCTTATTGTAGACTTGACTGATCCCTGGGTTGATGAAAATATCAGTGCCAATAACATACTAGCTATTTACCAGAGACACAATCATGTTTGTCACTCAGTCCAGCTATGAATAGTAGGCCTCAAACAGCTCACATAAAATAAATATGAGCATGAATCTGAGAGGAACATCTCATAAAGTCATTTCCTCTTTTGTTCATCTGTAAACCAAATGACCCTCAGTCTTGTGTGAGTAACTTCAGCTGAGATGACACTGAGCCTTGCATGTGGGCTCTTTTATGTCTCTTATGCATTGTAAGGCTCAGTCCAGCCTGGACTGGCCACAGTTGGCCCAGACCTGGTCTTGGTTTTGTTTGCTTTCAGCAGAGTGCCGCTTTGATGTGGTCAGGATTGTCATAGCAAGACCACTTGAATCTCAGCTCAGCAATCACTGCACCTTGCTGTTTGTCCAGGGTGCTGGTGCCATCTTTTGCATAGTCATTTTTCTGTCTATCACACAACTGGCCAGAAGCAAGTAGCTGAAGGAAATGGTGGTAAGGAGCTGTCGCTCAAAGTATGACTCACCAGTGACTTGACACCCACCCGCCCCAGTTAGAATTGCATTCGGGCCCCAAAACTCCCACCCGACCCGGCCCCAGCCAGTAGCCACCATTTCCAAACCCAACCCGACAAATTAACAGTAATTACAGGTCTGAACCCGAACACCCCCCCCCCCCCCCACCATTTTTAATTAAGCCTTGCTTATACTAACTGTCGGTGGACGTGCGTGGCTGAGTAAAAGGGGGCAGAAGATCAGAACTGAGGGAGTGTTTGTTCTTTCATGGCCATCAAAGCGCATTAAATCCCTGCTTCTGCCTGCATTCTGCATTATTCAGACACGGACCCTGCTCTGACATGTTGGACATTTTGGGGTCTCACCTGTTTGGGTCGTCGGCCGTGCGCGTCCGCTGAGCGCAGCGACTGAACGAACGTCCATTTGGGCTTTGTTGGATCGCTTCCTGGCAGTATAGTCCCATCTGAAGCATAACTGAACTTTGTTTGGTCAGCGCGTAGTCAAATGGCCGCGTGCGGCTGGTGATTGTATGGCAAGCCATGTTGCCATATAAATGGATCGTCAGGCATCTGCGTCCGCTGACACAATCCAAAGCCAGACACCAACCTGGCCTGCCCATCCAGCACATTATTATGGCCCGGCCCAGCCCAAATTCGGGTCAGGTGGTGCCAGGTTTTGGGCCCGGGTTAGAAATGACAGCTCTACCCCCAGTACACCAATCAATGGCCAGCAGTCTGATTACACCAAAGCTGCAGCACCAGCCCGGCCTGAATGGAACCCCAGGTCTCTAGTTTCCAAAAGTTGAGCTGGAACTGGACCAGACTGCTCATTGGTGACACTCAAAACCTGGGGTGGAACCCGGGTCGGGCCAGTCCAGGCCAGGCCAGGCTGGGACTTACAATGCATAGCTGCCATTAGTTTTGCTTCTGTATTTGAGGAGTATCAGCCCTTCTGAGGTCTGCAACCTTTCTCACTCATGCCGCCAACAACACTGCTCTGTCTCAGCATAGCAACAGAGCAATGCCATTAGGGCAATCCAAGCCATTGTGGTGGTTACCCTTAAAATTGTGGAAAACTACCGGTACTTAGATGTACACCCTATTTGTTGCCATAGTGACAGCATAGTTGACCTTGGAGGTGCAACATCCTGCTTCTACTGGAGGCTGAGGGTATAAGGCTTGTTTTAGGTTGTATATCCGGAACATTCAGTCGGTGATCAGTTCTCAGTCGTGCAACAAACAAGTCTTTTTCTTTTTCCTTCCTTTTTTAAATTCCATTTCCTCCCTGTTGTTCTTTCCCTTTTTCCCTCACTGTCCCCCTTCCATTATCCCCAGAGAGAGAGAGAATACAGGCAGTCAGCTGGTCCCTCCTCCTTTCCCATCTTCCCCTCCTCCTCTTCAGTCTTTCCACCAGCCGCTCCTGCTCACAACCACCCCACCCTTCGGCTCGCTGACAGGAAGCAGTAGGCAACCTCACCTTGTCCTAGATGAGTGGGAGCTGAGCTCTTTGCTGAGTGTGAATGTGTTCTCAGTTCTGTCTTCAGAGGAGGATGTGGAAGGGCGTGTGCATGTGTAAGATCTCATTTTCATCTGACTTCCACATACTGTGTCTCTGATTGTGTCCACTGGAAATCATCTGTGCACTGACAGCCATGTGAGTGTGGGTGGGTGGATCTGTGTGAGACGGCTCAGTGAATATGAGTGGAGTGGGGGTACACAGCATGGTTGTCTTTATCTCTTTTTAGCCCCCTCTCTCTTTCAACTCTCACTTTTTTCCTCCCCTCTCTTCTCACTTGTGTTTGCATAGTAGAAGCGAAGTGGCGTGTACTAGAAATGTGTGTGCACATGCCTATTTAAAGAGGAAGGTAGAGTGCATGCTCCATGCATGTGTGTGTGTGAATGTGGAGTGCACCTTATGAGACGGTGTGTGGACTGTGGTGGGGTTTCAGCAGAGTGAAGTAGAGCAGGGGTTCCAGCTGTGGATCTGTCAGTAAGTAAGGATGGTGCAGCGCTTCAATCTACGTAGACAATACTCCAAGGTAAGCTTACAGTGTAAAAAAAGCAGGTGATCTAATCTTTATAATACTTAGATGGAGCATAATTTGTTTCCTTTTCATTATCATTGTCATATTTTTGTTCAGTCTTATGATAAGCAGTGGTCCAGCTTTATCAGATTTTATTATTGTAAAAGCATTGTTTGCACCCTTTAAACTTTTGCAGAATTAACTTTAAAAAAAAAAATTCAGTGTGGTGCTGTCTTCCAACATAATCAGCTTTAAATAAACATTAACTCACCCTAAAGAGTTAAGAATTACAGCCTTCAGGATCAATTCAAGCCCTCACCAAGAGGTGTTTTTATTGTACACAATATGTGTAAATATTTCTGATCAGGGAGCAGTTATGGTGTGTTTTAACAGCAAGCTGTAAAGCTGTCTTCCACAACTGTCCCCAGGTGATAGTGAGGGTTAAGAGCGTGGCTGGGTTGTGTTAAGTCAGGAATACGTTTCTGTTTAGAGCCTGCTGTTCAGCAGCTGCTGCTCCGGCTGTGACATTAATTACAATTAGCTGCAGATTAACTAAACTGATCTGTTTCAATCTTCCTGTTTATTTTATATCTGTTGTTGTGCTGATAGATGTACCTGTCAGAAAGTTTCAGCGTAATCAAATTAGTAGCTAGAAACAAGGTGATGGATCACAATAGGAATCTTGCAGTTGGGAGGATCACTTCTGTAGGTGTTGTCCTAAAATTGCTCTGATCAGAGCAGACTGTCAGCTTTTTTCAATAATGTTGCTTTTCTGTGTGGACGTGCAAGAATTTGCTGCAAATTGGACAGGCTGCTAGTCCTTCACAGGCTTTTTTTAATACAGAAAATAAGACTATTTGGTTTAAGAGTCCAGTTAAATTAGATTAAAATTGTTATTGATTTTTTTTTTTTTTTTGTGGTTTAGAATTGGACGGTGTCTTTGGGACTATAGGTGTGAGAGAATATTTAAAATTTAACAAGCCAAATAATAAGAGCATCTTCAACTTTTTTTAGTAGATTTCTATCATCCGCTCAAGCTGGTGAACAGCTTACTAATTTCTCAATGTATCTTTCCCATTTGGAAAAGTTGGTTGCTTTCGGGAATAACTGTGGTCAGAATGTGGACATCCAATCAAAAGATTAATGGGTATACATTACATCATAACAAATAAATGCATAAATCAAGTCTTCAAAACATAAAATGCTTTCAAAGGTTGTGGTCAACCAAATAGGCCTATCCTGACTTCTGCTTTCAAGAGATTTATACTTTCACCAGTTAATCAAGTATCTTGTATATAAGCTTGGCAGCCATGCTGGTGACATTCTCTTCTGGTTTTCCAAATAAATTTAATTTACACAAGTGAATAATCTTTTCCTTTAGACATTTTCTCCTCCTGCTGGCGTTGCACAAAACCTTGGTATCCTCTGTGCAATAACAGTTACAGCCATGTGTCCTCTAAACATGAACCCAGGCTTCTTTTAAGTCGTAAATTGTGTAATTATCAGTAAATTGTGTAATTATCAGTAAATTGTGTTATGCAAAGCTTAGCAGGCTCTACACAACTTTTACATGATAAAAATGTGACAATACAGAGAACAACTATTATTATTGGGGACTGCCTAGTAAGGCAGCACCTATTATTATCCACCTGACTTAGCTTTCTTAACTTTATCTTACTCTTCCGTCAACTTTAATGCGGCCTGAACCACAATGTGTACCCCAACAAATGTTATATCAAAACGACCAGCTTGGTGCCGTGATGTGTTTTATTACTTTTATTGGCATTTCGAGTTACCATGGTGATGTAATTTGCAAACAAAGACACCACTTTTCTCATGCAAAACATCTGATGGAACTCCACAGCGTCTGACAGCTTCTAACTGCTGTAACTCAGTCCTTCTTTGAGATATTGAGCTGAAATTTGCTCTGGTCGTAGCTGAGCGCGAATTTTCATACAATGCTAAAGCAAATCAAAAATCCAAGATGGCCGCCTGAGGTAAAAGGGGAAAAATAGGAAAA